TTAACGCATAGCTGACCTTATTTGAACTGCTTGTCGAAATTCCTTCTATCTCTCCTCTCATATCGCTATTGATGAGGCTATGGTCGCCTTTGCAGGCCGTTCGAAGTATATAATCAAGCTAAAGAACAAGCCTATTGATACAGGCTATAAGCTATAGTGTATTAGCGATTATAGATATATTTGGAGCTGGTTATTTCACTCTAGAATAGATGAAGTTGAAACACTTGAGAAGGGAATAAAAACGAGCTGGCCGCGCCTGCGCTCTGTAGGCGCTAAGCGCACCTTGTTAGCACCTATATTTGCGCTTGTTTTACGCTTGGCCAAACAGCTTCTAAAACAGCTCAAATTCTGTGTTTATTTAGATAATCTGTTTCTAAATATGCCTGTTGCATAGTGCCTGTTAACCATGGGAGTCTATTGCATGAGTATAACGTGCAAAAAGGCTGACAGATTTCCTTTACATCTTCAGAGCTATTTCAAGCAAAATAAGCTACTATAGGACTCTACAATAGCAGAGGTTATCGATAATAATACTCTCTGCTTCATTTAGCAAGATAATAAGGCTGTTAGCGCTATTTCGACTGCTTACAGCCTCTACAGAGTCGAGGATAAAGTTCAGTATACATAAAGATGCCCAAAAATAATGTCTGAAAATCAACGAATTTTATTGCCTGTTTTTGACAGTCAACTGTTCAAAAAGCTCTTTATTCTAATAGCTATTAATAAATATAACCACTATATAAAGGGCGTGGACTAAGCTAATTAATTACGTGCGAGTTTTATATGCTATTATAAGCAGAATTATTGAACATGGTGGCCCTTGTTTTTCTTTCTTCTTAACGTTACTTATACTAATGCGTATCTACTATAGAAATAGAGTAATAACGTGCAGAATCACGATACTCATAGGACTTTTATAAGCGCTCTATACAACCAATTACTATATTCGAATAATCCGAAAGAGGAGGAATAATCCCAGCCTTTACCTACGGTAGTCTCTCAACGCCACTATAAACGCGTGCGAGAGAAAACTCACGGTTGGTGCGAATAGGGAAAGCTTCACAAGCCTGGCTGTGTACGCAAAAGGGCTCCTAAGCGCAAATTCGGAACAAATATTACAGAAACAGCTGTAAATGGCGCAAATGAGGCTATTTCTGGTGGGTCAAGGACCTATTTCAAATGCAGCAAGTGCCAAATTTGGCTCTGTATCGAAGGAAGCTGTTGGCAACAATATCACCACTCAATTGGAGTCAATTGCTAGATAGAATGGCCTCAATTCGCCCAAAAGAGACGTTTGTTGACATTTTGTGCCCTTCGTAGTGATCGACAGCGCTAATTGGACCATTCTACACCCCTGTTCAGGGACGGAGGGGATAGCAACTTTGTACGTATAAATGCGCGCTCCTCGCACTGAATTAGATAGAACAACTTGCTATTTCCACACTGATCCGTCGATTAGTCAGCACAGTTCATCACTTGATCTAAAATCTGCTCGCAGCTCACTTCCGGTCTGGGCCAATCGGGCCTAGCATAGTAAGTAGTAAGACCCGGGAAGTTGGGAGTGAGGCATGGCATGCTTGACCAATCTTTTGCTACACAGCTGAAGGATTGAGAGGCTGACGCCGAAAAAAGTGTTCTGTGCACACTACGTAGTATGCATGCAGCTTTTTCGGAGCATGCACCGATCTACTAGTACTCCCCGTACGTTCAGGAGCAGCTATATTTCCATCATAAGTCATCGGACTGGATGGACTTATGCTATACTCACAGCCTGAAGGTGTAAGTTGACCACAACTTGACTGGAGCCACCGGGTCTAGAGGTCTGCCTTCGGCCACCATAGGAAAAATGGAAGAAAAAGTTGCTGCTGTGGTCATCGATAATGGGTCAGACATCACCACAACGGAATCAATAAATAATTCTCACAGTGGATGTTTAGTGGCTGCATGATCAAAGCAGGATTCGCGGGAGACGATGCACCGCGTGCAGTGTTTCGTGAGTATACGCCTACTATCAAAGGAAATCGGCAACGGTAAAGTAATACGAGATCTGAGAGCCGACAGCAACGGTCGTGGGTCGCCCAAGATACCCTCGGTAAGACAGGATCTGATCAAGTTCAGTATATTCTCTTTTAACGTTTATTTGAAGCATGATGGTTGGAATGGGACAAAAAGACTCTTACGTCGGGCACGAAGCTCAAGTAAAACGAGGAATATTGACACTGAGAAACCCTGTCCAACACACGGTAGTCACTAACTGGGACGACATGGAAAAGCTTTGGCACCATACTTTCTACAATGAACTCAGGGTTGCGCCAGAGGAACATCCTGTTCTCATGACAGATGCTCCCCTCACGCCCGCCAGCAATAGGTGAGGAACTTGAGGATCGAGCTCGTCCGCTTACTAACTTCTCCCAACCTTGAAGAGAGAGAATGACCCAAATTGTGTTCGAGGCTTTCAATAGCCCTGCCTACTATGTCTCAGTCGCTGCAGTTCTTGCACTTTATGCCAGTGGCCTCACAACCGGCCTTGTTATCGACGCAGGAGAGAAAACTACTCACGTGGTGCCAGTTTACGAGGGTTTTATGTTACCTCATGCGGTCAGCCGAGTCGATCTTGCTGGGCGGGATCTTACCGATTATTTGATGTGGATCTTAGCAGAAAGAGGCTATCCTTTCTCCACTACGGCTGAACGCATGATCGTTCAAGACATCAAAGAGAAATTGTGCTATACCGCATTGGACTTCGAGCAGGAGGTTGTTACCACAGCTGGGGGAGCCAATGAACCGGATGTTAGCCGCCGTTCCTCCATACAATCCAACTCAAGTGGCCTAAGCGGGACATCCATGAATAGCGCCTCATCGGATTACTCAGCAGCGACGGTTACGAGTGAGGTCTCGGATCATGCGTCTTTCAACGATCTTTACACGGAAGGTTCGTGATTTCCTATCTACTTTAAGCAACACGGAGTCGAGCCCATCCCACAAGTACTAGTCTGCGAGCATGGAAAATGCCATTGACTCTCCTTCTGATCCAGTTCGACCGATAATTCGATTCGAGCGTCCTACCGCAAGAGCTGGAAACCTAGAGAAGTCGTATGAATTGCCAGATGGCCAGGTTATTACTATCGGCAACGAGCGCTTCAGAGCACCAGAAGCGCTATTCCAACCTTCGCTCGTGGGTCTCGAGTCTGTTGGACTGCATGTGGCCGCGTTCAGTTCGATTGTCAAATGTGACCGCGACATAAGAAGAGAACTATATGGGAACATTGTGCTGGTAAGTCTGCAACACTGAACCACGTTGTCACCATGCAATTCTCACTTGGGTTTTACGTAGGCTGGAGGAAGCACCATGTACCCTGGTTTCGGCGACAGGATGCAAAAAGAGATGACAGTATTAGCACCTGGCGGGATGAGGGTGAAGATCATTGCGCCACCCGAGAGGAAATACTCTGTTTGGCTTGGGGCCTCGATCCTCGCATCGCTATCGAGCTTCGAACAAATGTGGGTGTCCAAACAAGATTATGATGAATCTGGGCCATCTATCGTGCACCGGAAATGTTTTTGATCGCTTTGTCTTTTCCATGCCTGAAGTTCATGGGCGAGAGTCCACGATTCGATCACAGCTATTTAATAGGATGTCTCGGTCCATACGATTAGGTACTTTGATCTTTTCAAATTGCGTTCGTCCATGCGGAACTTCGCACGCAAATCATAAGACGTTCTAAACGGAAACGGAGGTTGCGGCATTCAAGGCTTGATGAACATGATATCTAGCGAGAAGATGCCCTGCCTAGAATTTGGTTGACTAAGAACAGTTATGCAGATACCTCATACCAGGACAAATGATTCTGGGGTCTCGTTCCACCACTCCCAATTTCGAGGATTTCTTTCGCCATCCATCCAGCCGTGGAGGTAGCACAGGCCGACAACTGTGTATCTATGTTGGGAATTATCCTCCTTTCGCAAGATACAGGGCATCCTGGATCCATACAAAACACAAACAATGTCACCCTCTCTGATGGTTGAGAAGCCAAGGCCTATATCGAGTTGGTCCGTTAAGAACACTCTTTTACCACTTGCCACCTCACCAGTCTGTCGCAGGTATTGGCGCAACTCTGCATCACCATCTACGGCAGCAAGGGGATCGTTTTCATTCTCGTAGGCTTGGAGAAGCTCTTAAATCGAGTGGTTCATTTGGCCCAAAGGGGTGAACGAGCCATTCGCCAGGATGGTACAAAGGAGAGTCTCTCGTGAATCCATGGGCAACCAGCCCGGTACATGGTTTGCCGACTCTTCTGGAGCCAGCCTCTGTGCTTCTCTGATCAGCCGAGCCTCAAGTTTGTCGAGCCGAAAGGCTTCCTTGAGAGTAGGAGCGAAATAAGTATGCTGGAAGCTGTGCCGTAGAATAGCACTGATGCAGCCCGCCGTGTGACCTAGCACTGGGAGCTCGAGCGGACTGGAGTTCATGGATGGTGGTGTACAAACCTTCTCCCGGGACGCGCTCTGACGGTAGGGGACACCAGGCACGGATATCGGACTCCCACAAACGAACTGTCGATTTGCCCAGTTCGGAACCCATGTTGGGAGCGTGCAGGTCATGGGAGATGATTTGGTGGAAACAACATACTGGAGAATGTCGAGTGAATGAGTACTGCGGATTGCAGCAAGTGCAAGGTCCGTGTACATGGTCCCTATAGGGTCTCCATAGTTTGGCGTGATTGAGTCTTGGAGCGGGCTGATGGCACTTTGAGGAGGCTCGCTCGGGCTGTCGATGTATTTGTTGACAGCGAGAAATGCATAGACATAGTCGCGGGGATCGGTGGTGTCGAGGTGCTTCCGCGCATGCCATAGAACGTGCAAGAAGTTCAGTTCTCTCCTTCTGTGGGCTTTTCGGTCGTGGTAGATGGTGCGGACTGGTGCGAAGCCTCTGGTCTTCTTGATTCTCTTATGCCATCGCCCATCTTCCGCACTCTTTCCAATGCTGTAGGCCGAGACCACCAGACCAGTGACAAAGTCGAGAGGAAGTACAATGTCTCCCCATATCATGTCGACTCGCAATGCAATCACCGCCTCCTGGTAGACCCAAGCGCGACGGAACCAGGGCAGGTCGAGAAACTTCTCCAGGAGAAGTCTCCTTCTTTGCACCATTTCATTGTGCTTCTCTTCTTCATGTGATGTGCCAATCATCCGTGCCAGGATGTCGTGGTCCAGCATGAGCACACCACCCGAGTCCTGAGTATTGGACTGGAGAATGGAGAGACGACGGTACATATCCTCCAGCAGCTCTGCATCATAACCCCGAGGGCCCAGCCAGACGACGGTGCACCTCGCTTTGCTATAAATTTCGCCCATGCGGCGAATTTGAGCGCTTTTCTCGGCTGTGTCATCTTGATCGATGGACAGTTGATCAATCCATAGAACTCGCGTCTCCGAAGGCCACCGTAGGTTTCTCAAGGCGACATAAAGACTGTTTGTGACGCGGAGTACACTTGGTGGAAGCTGCAATCCGGTTGCCTCGATACGGACCGTCTCTGTTCGCTCGGAAGGTCCCCAACAATACGACAACGCCTCATACTCGCCTGCTTGTGCCAGAGGAACATGGAATAACTCGCATTGGATTGTCGATCTGTCGACGGGTTGTTCCCCAGATGCCGGAGGGAGTAGACGCAGCAACCTGATATGATCTTGCTCAAGGGGTCGATATCGATAGGCTGTCGTCGGAAGAAACGAGCTTCTCCACGATGGCCTACCGGAAGGTAAGAGTGCCATTGTTTCAAGTGCAATGGCCAATCACTTATGGCCGATCAATGCAGGTTGCCTACGGCCAATGTGACTTATGAGGCGCGGTTCAGAGACCGGCCAACCTCAGGCCTGTGGTGATAAATTCACGGCATGGAAAAAGAATTCAATCATCTCGAATCTCTTACCTTGATACGTGAGCAACTCGATTCGATATCAATCCTTTCTTCCTACTACCTACGGGCAAACTGGCGGCATCCAGAACTTGATCGATGACCACATCGCCGGTGATGATTTGGGGAGCGAGCGCATCAGGAGGCGCAGGGGCTGGTCAGTACAGTCAAGGATACAGGGGATTGCCCTGGACCGCTGGCAGGACGGCAGTGCAAGGGCATGAGAAAGGGCGGGCTATCCTGGAGCAGCCTCTTGCAGCGTTGGATGAGCGTTGGGGGTGAGCTAATGATACATAAAAGCGGCGTCGAAGGATGAGCGGAGCATTTAAGGACCGTAGTACTAGTAACTATACCTTAGCGCCAAGAGGTCTAGGGTGCGCAGGTCCCGGACCGGAGGACCGGAGGACCTAGCTCTAACCGGGAGAATCTTACTTTTACTAAATTTCCGCATGCATGTGCTGTCATATCATCATGATTAATCCAATTCCGCCACTCCAACTTATCTATGTCCGAGTATCTTAACCATTTCAATACAGACCCAACTACTTGATGTCTTGGACTATGTATCTAAGTCAGTTGTCGGTCTTCTTTCTATAGGCGTCGAACCCTCGACCGGTGAGATTGCAGTAGTCCTGGCCGAGCCCCGTAGGACTTGGCGTTCGTCTCCCATGTTGTTCTGCTGTGTTGCAGGGCTCGTAGCCTGATCAAGGCCATCGATGCGTTGTTCAGTGTCTACTCGTCTTGGCTGTGTGAAGCTCGATGCCTCATGCGCAACATCTCGCCTTTCAGTCTCACCCGGGTTGTCCAACGGTAGAGTCACAGGTGTGACGCCGTCGCCATTGCTTTCATGAATTTGTTCCTCTAGATCCATGGCATTTCAGCAAAATTTAATCTCTTCAAATCCCACATCCACCCTTGCTTGCACTCACCAAAAATTATCTCCGCTGCACTTAGGAAGGGGAGCGTGATTAGAAAAGGGCGAGAAGTTGCCCAAATCCCCAGGCATTTTCTGAACCTCGAACTGGATTTGAGGGTGGAAACCGTTGGGTCACCGAAAATAGACAACTTATCACCCACCAGACAAGTTGCGTGCCCTGCGAGAACAGTATAGCGGGAATATGCGGTCTCCAATGCATGAAGCGCTCATGGAACTGGTAGGTCCGCAGCATCCGCTCTAGGAATTCGAGAGGCTTGGTAAACATCCATTTGGTAAGAATGACATTGGGTAGCATATGCGACAAAGCGGTCCAATAGCAAAACATCAGTACGATGCAAAGTACTATACCGGACACTTTGTGTAGTGCCGCGCCGTTTGCCCAATAATCATTTTGGATTGAACAAATGGTGGGACAGCGAAGATCCATCATTGGGAACAAAGAGGGACCCCCAGCCATGAGCAGCGCTATCATCAGAGCAAAAGCGAAAGTGATCATAACGAAAAATCTGAGCTTAGCCATCATGGGCCGGCTTTGGAAATACCGCCGCAAACTGAGGACCGATGCCAGATGGGCACTACAGGAAAACATGGCCAGGGATATAATGAGATGAAAATGATAGATGGAAAGGTGTCTGATCTTGACAAACCCAATGATGAGAATCGAAAACCCCGTCACCAGTTGCTGGTCGCTCAACCCCAGGATGAAACGATCGAGCACGGCAGTCCAAAATTGCTTGCGAGTACTGGGGATTCTGCTGAGCGGCCAAAAAGAAAGCCCGGCGCTTATCGCATCCGCTACCACTGCGCAGAAGACTGTCAACGCAGCGCTGCAAAGAAATGCTAGCAAGACCTGCTACCAAGGTTAGATCATGTTCAATAGATTTTCTGGCAACCTCGCCTCAGGTAATGGATAAGGACTTACTCCAATTCCAGCAATGTCAGGATCAGGATCCACGAGATCGTATTGCCCATCACAGCGTGACATTTTCAGGAGTAGATGGCTATGGAGGTCACTTCATGAAAGAAAGGCATGTAGGTGAGGCGTCAAAACATGGGGGTTTCATCTTTTTCAAATACAGGCCTCTAATTGGTCCAGTTTTGCGGAGTCAGCATTCCTTGGCACTTCACCATTCATCTCCTTCGTGTCAAGCAGATTCCTATGGAGACGTACACCAGTGACTGGCACGAAGGTACCAACGGTTACCTGTAGGAACGAATTCTCTGAGGAGTGTACGCATTTAAGCACTCCGAGTCAGGGAATTCAGTCTCCTTTTCTTGCCAAGCAGAGGCAGACAGACAGCCCTCCGGCCCCTTAACTAGGGCGGTATGGCGGACCGGAGCTAGGTGACTGGAAATAGTGAGAGTTCCGTCCTACTGTATCCTGTTGAATGCCACCCTTTGATACTCGGCGGTATCCAAATTATCAAATTGTCAGTGGGAATTTGATTGTCTCATCTTGTGTCAGACAGAAGCTATTTTCACGGTCCTTTTGGGGGCGAGTTCCTGCTCGTCCAACATCCTGCTATCGTGCATATCTAGAGAAGAATCACTGTGTTGCAGCCCCAACAAGACCATTCTAAGCTGGGTGACGAGAGAGAGAGTTGCCTGTGTCTCCCTGAGCCCGTGAGATCGACCCAACTTCTGAAGCCGCCAAAGGTCTGTGACATCAAGGTCTACTCGACAGATTATTGGCCCTAGTTATGTTGTTCAGTCACCCAGCACTATTGACTTATCAGCAGTTGCGAATGATATACACGTTGTGGCCTGCTCACCTTTGCGCACTTCACCGACTATTCTACATTCTCAATCATCACACTCGTTGGTTGAGCATTTAAACACAAAGGAGAACCGCCTCTCTCACAGGCTATAATCATGCACGAAAGAGAAAGGTTGATAATACAGAGCCACACTTTGTGCGAACAAGGAAAAGATACGTTCTATCTGAGCAAGATGAATTTGTCTGTGAGGCATGCTGTCAGATTGACTTTCAAAAAGTGTTTGATCTTAGCGCGGACACTCTTCAAAACAGCAATCCGGGTGGCATCTTTATCGCCTCACTTGGTACACTGTGTGATCAAGCCTCTGGAAGTAATTGTGCTCTATGTCGAGTCTTTTTTGCAGTGCGCATCCCTGCTGACCCGCATCAGAAATCTCAGCAATATCAACTTCGGGCCTTTTCTCTTCTAACAAACTCCCACTTTATCCAAGGTCATAAGACTCATTACAATCCCACGGATATAAGGGCACAGGACCAGGCGTACCTCGCGGTTGTTCCTAAAGCCTTCGACTTTGGAAGTCATGCACTTGCAGCCGCTATAAAGAAGGTAGGCGCACTGTTCTGCTACCAGGATGGTAGCAAGCAACAAGGAACCTTCGCACCACCGGCCGTCCCAAGTCAAGTGAACTACTCTAGGGTGGTACAGTGGCTCGAATATTGCAGGTCGCATCATGCAAATCGCTGCACGAGCGAGCAACCTGTACTAGCAGGGTTGAAGCTACTTGACTGCAGTTCATTCTTGGTGATAGCTGCTCCGATTTTATTTCGGTATGTGGCACTGAGCTACGTTTGGGGCGGCTCGAAAGGAGGCAGCTGTAATGGGGTCACGATATTCACCGGTGGAGCGAAGGTGCTGCGGTCATGTCTTCCCAATGTCGTTCTAGATGCCATCCAGGTCACCAAGGCACTGGGGTTGCGATATCTTTGGGTTGATAAGCTCTGCATTGATCAAGACAACCCAACTCTGAAGCATGACCAAATAAGTCAGATGGACAAGATCTATAGAGGAGCAGAGGTCACCATAATTGCAGCTGCAGGAGAAGACGATAATTACGGCTTGCCTGGCGTTGGAAAGAGACGTCGGAGAGCTCAGCCGGTAGCAAAGATCGGCAACATTAGACTCGTCTCCAGTATGGCCCATCCGCACCATACGATCACCAGTTCAAGATGGTGGACTAGAGCTTGGACGTATCAGGAAGCCGTGCTCTCTCAGCGCCGTCTCGTCTTCACAGAAGATCAGACCTATTTTGAGTGTAATAGGATGAATTGCTCTGAAAGTTTCCAGGGCGATTTGGATGTTTTTCATGTAACTGCCAGATCTCTGTTTTGGGGGGTCCACCATCCTGGTATCTTTTCGGGTGAAGAGGGCACTTCAAATCTTTCCAGCCGGCTCAGATACTTCGACCTTGCAAGCCAATATACAGCGAAGGAGCTAAGTTTTGAGGAAGACTCCCTTAAAGCTTTTGCTGGGATTATGAGACACTTGAGGAGTTCCTGGTATCCTATATGCCAGGTATGGGGGGTCCCTTACGAACATAATGGTTACAAGTCCATACGCCGAGGGTTGCTCTGGTGCCACAAACAACACTGCTGGTCCACATTGGCGAAACCCCACCGACGGTCTGATTTTCCATCCTGGTCGTGGGCTGGGTGGGCTGGAGAGATAGACTTCATGGTGAGTGACTGGTTTAGTGTTGGCTCCAATTCGGCCAGTGTCTTTTTGGAGGTCGAAGTCGGTTGTCTGGTGGAGCTTAATTACCTACCACTCAACTCTGCAGAAGATGCATTTCAGTTTTCGTACCCCCTTGCTCTGCACCTAGACGCATGGGCTCTCCCAAGCAGTATGCTCAAGGTCCAAGATCCTGAGCGACCATCTGCATGCACTATCGCAGGCTTCGATGCGACACTGAGCTTATCTCAAGGTCCAGGGGATCCCAAAATTGTTTCCAAAATGTTATGTGAGGGCAAATGGGAGTTGCTATGGCTTTTGACACAGTCTTCAGCTGCATACTTTTTAGTTATCGAAAACCATACCGACTTCGCTTGCCGTGTGGGTACGGTCGATGCAAAAATTCCTCCTTGGCCATGTCATTTGTTGAGACATTCGCCGCTGGGAAAGCGACGTAAAGTTTGTCTGAAATAATGAAATCTGAATGGAGATGGGCACTGTTCAAACGTCTTAGACATATATAATACTTTCATTTCACCTAGTTAGGGAATTATACGTATATCAAGGTCTGATGACCAATTCAATGACTGGGAGAACTCTGTATGGAGTAACTAGTTCATGGTTGTCTTCCCTATCTAGTGTTATCATTACCATGCCCAATTCTCCTCTCAACATTTTCTATCACTCACTGCTCATGATACTGCTGAGCTGAGGACTCCTTCCGCAACTTTAACAAGCACCCTTTACCGTTGTTCACTTTTGCAAATCAAAAAAAGGTCATTTATCACAATATCCGCACCATGAATTACTGAATACTACCGTGCATTGGGAAAGTGTTGTGGATCCTTAGCGTTGTATCAAGAATTGAAGTCCTGTGGAATTCTTCCGTCGACGATGGATTACCGAAGCGTCCATATCCGTGTCCTCCGAATTATTCCTGTTGAGCCGCGTCTAAAATGCCGCCTGGTGTCTTTATCCGTTGGATGGACGAAGCCTCTGCTGCTTGTGCTGTGTCGTCCTCGTGAATGGTCGATTCAGAGTCGATGAAGACTAAACGTTTCCCGTCGGAATGATAGCCATTGATAGCCATTGATAGCAAGAGATCTCTGATCATTGGGCATTCTAAGCCGGTCTCCAAAAGCAAAAGACACGTCAATATGCGGAAAGGTGTTGTTCCAACTACACCCAGCACGCACTTCAGCGGTGGTATGGCTACGTGCCTCTACATGCACTTCTCGCCTCCTTTTCTTTTCTTTTCTTCCATCTCGCAGCTTGAAGAGCTCGACTAGGGGCCCAACCATGCTTCGAAAGGTTGGCAGCCAACAGACATTCCATCTCAACCCTGCCGCCATGCAAGCCTAGTGCTGAGAGACGCCTCGCAACATCAAGCAGGAGGATGCATGATGGTCACCGATCCCCAGGCAAGCTACTCCCACCCCGCGGACTCTGACCTTGACTCTGACCTCCACTCGACTCCTTCGCCTTCTTCAGCAGCCCCTGGAAATAATTGTTCAAGGATTCATTATCCACCTTCACACCATCCGGCGTCGCAACCCCACTCCCACTCCCTCCTGCCGACCCCTTTCTCGTCGGCGTCCTCGTACTGTCTCTGTCCCTGTCGGCCTCCCTCTCCCTAATCCGTCTCGTTACTTCCTCCGCGTCCATCTGTACCCCACCCACATTGATCTTGTACGGCTGCTGATGGCGAGCCACTTCGTCCAGTAACGCGTGCGCTGCCGCGGTTTTGCGCTCCATTCTCTGCTCTAGGAGCTCCGACTCGGAGGGGCCCCGTCTTTGGCGTTCGCGTTCGCTATGCTCGTCTTCTTGGCGGTATCGTTCTAGGATCTGCGCTTGGGCGGCTAGGAAGGTCTGCGTGTCTGGGACGGTGACCTTGTCGGAGGTGCTGGTGGAGGGGACGAAGGGTTTGGAGTTCGCTAAGGGGTTGGGGAGGGAGGAGGTGAAGAGGGAGATGCTGACTTCTGATGCTGCTTCGGAAGTGGAGAGGCTTGGGCTATCTTCTGTCTGTGCTGATTTTGCGCCGCCGTTTGTGGTTGGGGTTTTAGTGGCGGAGGGGTCGAATTTGGCTTCTGGCGGAGACTGGATTTCTACCGACCAGGCGTTGGCGACGGTTTCCATCTCGAAGCCTTCTCGTAGAATGCGGATCTTGCCCCAGGAATCCCAGTTGGGAGGGATGAGGATCTTGTCGCGGTCTATGACGTTGTGCTTGATGATTTCTCGTTTCAGGAGGGATTGTATGCCGAGACTGGAGTGGATGAGGGTGCGGACGTTGTTGGAGTCGAAGGAGGTGGTGTAGGTTAGTGAGGCGCCATCTGCATTCGTACCGGTTTCAGCACTTGTCTTGTCTTGTCGCACCTGGGAATATCGGGACTCACGCTTCAACAGCACACATCTCGTCCACTGCAGCAGGAAATCAAAATCCCCCTCCTGCCATCCGTACTCCCTCTCCATCCTCTCCTGCTTCTCCGCATTCAAACACACCACACTCAGCGGCACGCCCAGCTCATCCTCCCACTCGCCAGGCCCCAACGGCGCATCCACCGTTTTGGCCTCTCCGCCCATGATCCCAGCCCCAATTCTCCTCTCCTTCCACCCCTTCATCGTCTCCTCCATCGCCTCCCTAACCTCGTGGTCCAACCCTTCCACCACCCTCCTTAGCATCCGAATCCACTGCCTCAGCTGCCTCGGCCACTTGAACGGGTCCTCCCAGTCTAATAATATAGTCACCAGCGTGTTGGGGACCGTCTTCGTCGTGAACAGCGGTTTCAGCAGCGGGGCGAAGGCCGCAGAAGGGCTGGCGAGCATGTGGATGGAGAGACGAGCGAGGATATCTTCGCCATCCGTGTCGAGGACGTCGTGGTAGGTGTAGCCCAGGGTGAAGCGGTTGGAGATAGGGATCGGTTTCTGGGTGGTGCGGTTGGGGGGGTGGTTGTTGGTGCGGCGGTGGTGGCGGGTGGTGTTATTGTTGGACGCTTCGGACGGAGGCTGTAGGGTGCTGAGGAATGCGCGCTGTTGGTCTGGTGTTCCTCCTGCTCATCGGGATTTGCTTTGGTTAGAAAGGGGGTGGATGAGTTGGGTAGCAGGTAGAGTGCGTACCGAGGATGATCAATTGTTTCTCTGCCAGGTCCTTGCCGCGGGAGACTTCGTCCAGCATGGATAGCCATATTCCTTTTGCGGTGGTGTCTTTGGTGCCGGGTTTCCTGCTGGTGGTGGTGGTGCTGCCTCCTCTGTAGGACTGAGCCAGAGGGAAGGGGTTTGTTTGCATGGCTGTGCTCATTGTGGTGGGTGCATGGCAATTCTATGAATGATGCGGTGGAGTGCGTTACGTGAGGGCTTCTATCAAATGTCTTTCGTCACAAGGACTTCAAAGGCTGTCGTCTTTCATCATCCAGTGGTGCCGACAGTTCAATGGTCTATATCTGACAGTTGACAGTTGACGCGCCGAACATTTTTGGGGGCAGCGCGGAGGTCTCCCGCAAACTCCGCACCCCTCTCCCACAACTCCCTATACACATAACAGTAACTACATATTTTATCACACGAACAGCGAATCCTGCAAAGCAGTTCCGCCCCTCTCTCTCTCCCTCATGATCAGCCCTTCCCTCCCACAATGAACTCGATCCGCCAAACCCAAGCGCTCAACAAGCGCGAACTCGAAGCTGCCGTCCCCCCTTCCGCCTCGTGGCACGCCGACTACCGCGACACCGCCTACATCTACATCGGCGGCTTCCCCTTCGACCTCTCCGAGGGCGATCTCCTCACCATCTTCAGCCAGTATGGCAACCCGACACACCTCAACCTGGTCCGTGACCGAGAGTCGGGCAAGAGCAAGGGTTTCGCGTTCCTGAAGTACGAGGACCAGCGGAGTTGTGATCTGGCGGTGGATAATCTAGGGGGTGCGCAGGTGTTGGGGAGGCTGTTGAGGGTGGATCATACGAGATATAAGAAGAAGGAAGGGGAGGATGAGGAGACGTGGAGGGTGGAGAGGTGGGAGGGGGAGGGGGATGGGAATGGGGATGTGGTGAATGGGAATGGCAAGAGGAGTAGTAGTGGAGAGGAGATGGAGGATGATGATGGGGAGAAGAAGAAGAAGCGCAGGAAGAGAGGCATGATCAAGGAGGAGCGGGAGCTGGAGGAACTACTACGGATCAAGGAGGGCGAAGAGGAGGATCCTATGAGGCAGTACTTGATTGAGGAGAAGAAACAAGAGATCGAAAAGGCTTTGGCTAGGATTGAGAAGAAAGAGAGGCGTCACCGTAGGCATCACCATGAGAGGGACCGGAGTCGCGGCGAGGATCGAGCGCCTAAATCTCACAGACACCGAGATGATTTGGACGAGAGACGGGCCCATCGGCACCGCCATCGTGAGGATAAAGACCGGGATCACAGAAGCAGAAGAAAGGATACCGATGAGAAAGATAGACACTCCCGCCATCAACAGCGGAGACATGTTTCCAATGGTCAATCCTCGACGTCGAGAAGTTCAAGCAAGAGACGCAGACCTCGAGACAGGTCGGATTCGAGGTCGAGAAAAGGCCGGCCAGCAGAGAGGCACCGCTCCCGGAGCAGTAGAAGGAACCCCGAGTATGATCCATCCTCACGCTCGCGCTCACGTTCACGTTCACGTTCACGTTCACAATCCTTTTCGGAAGAGCGAAGGCGAGATCGCAGGTGAGACAAAAGGTATGAAGAAGCGCCTTTTCCAAAACTAGGGATTTATGTACAGAGATTGCATCAAGTATGCTTCGCCAAATCAAGCTCCCTTGAGCAGCTCGATGCCCATTTCTTTCAGCTTGAATTTCTGAATCTTGCCACTTGCCGTTTTAGGATATCCTTCTACATGGAATACATGGCTTGGGACTTGAAAACATGTCAGTCAGCCGGCATCTACGAGGTGTGAAAAGGGACTCTTGCTTACCGAGATGATGGCTCAACCGTTCTCTGACCCAGTTCCTGATCTCTTCTCGGCTGGTCTTCTCAGCGCCCTGCCTGGGTACAATGAAAGCGGCAACGACCTCACCATACTTCTCGTCCGGCAAGCCTACGACACTCACTTCCTTGATCCCCGGATGCGCGAACAGGCAATTCTCCACCTCGAGAGGATGGATGTTCTCTCCGCCGCGGATGATCAGATCTTTGATTCTGCCGGTGATGCTGACAAAGCCTTCTTCGTCCATGGCGGCCTCGTCACCGGTGTGCATCCACAGCTTGCCTTCCTCGTCCGTCCTCATGACCTCGGCCGACCTCTCCGGTTGACCCCAGTACCCCTTCATGACCAGGTATCCGCTCACTGCTAACTCGCCTCTTTCGGCGATTCCAAGAATTCTCTTACCGTCGAAAGCATCCACAATCTTGGCCTCGACGTGTGGCATCAGCCTCCCAACCGAGTTGATTCGCTTGTCCATAGGGTCATCTGTGGCCGTCATACAAGAAACGGGACTGGTCTCGGTCATTCCGTAACAGATCGTCAGCTCCGTCAGATTTAGCGTTTGGTGCAGCTTCCGCATAATCTCTGCGGGTATGGAACTGCCCGCTGCTATCCCTGTTCTCAAATGCCCAAAGCCCTCGTTCCTCACCGTTCCATTAGCCAGCAAGTCCAGCTCGGCCAAGAACATGGTCGGCACGCCATATAGCGCCGTCGCCTTTTCTTCTTGCACGGCAAGAAGCGAGGCCTTCGGGTCGAATGCTTCGGCAGGAAAGACGATGGCAGAGCCGTGGGTGGCTGTTGCCATGTACCCGAGGATACATCCGAAGCAATGAAAGAGTGGAGGAGGACAACATACAATGTCTCGTGCTGTAAGGCGCATGCGAGAGCCGATTTGGTGGCCGTTGTTGAGAATCGAGCGATGAGACAGGCAGGCCGCTTTCGGAGCGGAGGTCGTACCAGACGTGAATTGGATGTTGACAACGTCAGTATTGGAGAGGTGTTGAGGCGGAAGTGCGCTGGAAGAAGGACCGTTGAGAAGGTCAGGAAAGGAGGTACTACATCTGAAAGGGTCGGGATCAACGCGACCCGAGGAGTTGTCGACGAGGATCAAGTGCTTGAGACTAGGCACGCTGGGAGACTGGAGATTTTGGCGGGCCAGATTCGGCGTTAACTGTTCAAACAGTGGAACATTGGAACGGGGTGTTTTGAATGGTAAATTGGTCTCGGTACTGATGATCAGGTGCGAGGCCGCAAGGTGACTGAGGGCGGAAATGACTTGAGCAGCATTAAACGCCGGATTGAGTGGCACCTGTCAAATTGAGCATCTCGTCAGAAGCACTGGCGTGATCGACTGACTAGAATGGCGCCGAGTTTGAACAGCGCATATGTTGCCTGACATGATTCAGCGTATCTCTATAGACTGGTTTCTGCACGCATACAACGCTGTACTCGATATTGTTTCCTAGCGAAACAGCAACTCGGTCACCTTTCTTCACCCCTGTTTCCTGCAGACCTCTCGCGAGACTGTTGCTCTTCAGATCGAGGTCATGATATGTCAACCGCTGCCTTTGGTGCCGGGATATGACTCTGCAAGGTACATGAGTGTGTCTCTTATCCTGTAAGGAGTGGACAGTGAGGCACGAACGCATTGCGGTCACCGTGTTGGGACACGATCTTCCCAAAGTGGCCTCCAATCGTATCTTCTAGCAAAGGCGGCTTCACAGGTTCAGCCAGTCTCAGAGTAGTGTGTGCAATCGGATGCGCGCACCTCTGACGGGCCTTTGGCCCTTGCTTGTGTCAGTAGGCCTCGCCGGGAGGTGAATCCACTGGGAAGATGCCATGCTCGGAAACGAGAGAAGGGTCTCATGGCACCGCTTCATCACTGATTTCAGACAACATCGCCCACGTCTCTCAACGTGGTCTTCTACTTGGACCTCCCGCTGAAGATAGGGTTGATCATCAGACCTCACAACGTCAAATGGGGTATGCCGCGGCATACAAGAGCCAAGCCGTGAGGAAGTTTGGGGGGCCATCAAGCGGAATGATCTGCAACAAGGGCCAGAGGTCGTCAACCAGGGGAAGACTCTGGGCTGTGCCAACACCAAAGCGAATCTGTATTGAAGGGGCAATAAATAGGGTAGGCTTGAGATCATTGTGATATCTATCCTACCGTCGGAAGATACCGGTTGTCTCAAGTACTGGACAGCTTGAATGCAGGAATAAAAAGTGATTACAAGTAGAATATGTAAGCGCTGCAAGCCCAGATGTGCCTGGGAGCACATGATTCCCTGAGCTCCCTCCCTTGCAACGCTGTTCACTCGAAGGCATATCCGGAAGATAACCCCTCGCGCCAGACGATCCTATATCATCATCAGGCGCAGATAGTATTGGTCATTTAGGCACCCATCATGCATCTCTTCTAAGCTGCGACCTCTCCATTGACGTCTTCACCATGGCTCTGTTCACGTTGCATGCGAGCCTCGATTTCGCGCAGTTGGCTCTCACGCGCAAGCAGTTCTTGTCTCTTTTCGTTGATCTCACGCTGCACCTTGACTTCGATCTCTCGCAGTTTCTCCTCTTCACGTCGGAGCTGCTCCTCCTTGAGGCGCACGGATTGAGAAGCAAGGTCTTCAGGGTTCATTGACGAGTCTTGGTTACTGTGGGCAAATTCGTTAGTAGGCTTCAGCTTGGTGGGGACATTGGACGACGTACTGAGCGGTACCACCATCCACGCTCTTGCTGAGTTTCTCAGTACGATAATTCTCGTACAGAAAGTCATGAGTGATCTCTTTCAGATCAGCCAAGTGGGAATGGAGAAGGGCGCTTCGAATGGCAAGGAAATCAGAATGACGGGGGTTGTCAACTTCTACAACACCCCATGGATATTGTCGAGCTCTGACTCTTCGACCTCCAATCTCAAGAACATCTTCAGATCCGACAATGGCGAATGGCATCAGTCCCCGCAGCTCGGCATTTTCCTCCACTGTATCCTCATCATCCTCTTCAATATCGTAGGGGAAATTGTAGACAGGAATGCGGTAGTGCTCAATGTCCTCCATAACAAGCTTCTTCGACTCTGCTAGTTCTGCTGGGGTCAGGGAGTCGGCCTTTCCGATGACAGGGATCACATTAACTCTCGGTGATAGTCTCCTCATCAACTCAATGTCAAGCTCTCGTAGACCATGGCCGGTTGGAGTGATAAAGTAGAGAAGCGCATGCACTCGGTTGTCCCTGAAACGAGGGTTCCGCTTGATTCGCGATTCTTCAGCAAGAATATCATCGTATTGGCGCTCGAGGTATCCAACGATCTCGCCAAACGAAGCCTCGTTATCGATCTGGTCTCCAAAGCCGGGAGTGTCGACGATGGTAAGTGATATTCTCGTGCCTTCTTCATCCAGCTCGAGCTCTGAAGAAAGTGTCAGCTGGGAAAGACAGCCAGGCCGGCATCATTGTCACGTACCAACTGTGATTGGCTTGATGCGCACACCCTCTTCAAGGTGAGCGTTGGCTGCATCGTCTGCATCTTTGGCATGCAAAACCCGCTTTCCGCACAAGGTATTCACAAACGTGGTCCGACCTGTAGAGCATGGTGGTCAATGGCCTTTCTCCCATATTTAGCATATTAGGCTGGCACCCTCGTACCTGTTCCACTTGCGCCGCAAACCATCAGACAGAACTGAATTCCCTTCTTGACATTCTTCTTTCGCCGGATCTTGATCTATAGAAACCAGAAGTGGTCAGTAAATTTAGACTGGCAGCTGTCAAAGGATTGCATGGGGGCGACGTTGAGGAATTGAGCCGGGACTTCCTGGAACTTCTTACCGCGCTCATCTGAGAAGACATGCTGGACGAAGCTGACAGATGCGAAGATGCAACGACTGCAGGTACTCAAAAAACCTGCAACAGCTCGATTGACAAGGTGTGACAGGATATCTGCACGCAAGAAAGCTGTCGGACGGCAAAAGGACGAGGTGCCTGGAAATGAACTTAGGGGTCAAAAGCGAAATTTGGCGGATAGAGGTCGGGATTGTCCTTTCCCCCTATTTACCTTCCACCAATCAACGCCCAAGAAGCGGCGACCACCAATCACAGACCACAAATCACGGTGATCCAGATATCTCCGTCTATTACTTTTCACTATCAATATGCCAATAATGGCCTGAAATGCCTCGCCTGAAATGCTGTGTCACGATGTGAATGCTGACACTGCAATTGAAATTGCACACGTCGTTTGTCGTTTGTTTAAGCCGCATTTGCCCAAAACAGACTAGCGCTTGGACATAGGATGCGGTCTCGTTAGTGATGACAGCTATGACGATGCAGCCTGTCAGTGTCAACAAACAAACCAGCCCCTATATCTCCCTTGCAGTCCTCCTTCTACTGAGAAGACCATCTCGCAGCTTCTCACGGCATGAAATGGAGCGTATCCCCACTTCAACATGAATACAAGGCCCGTTATCGACGACTCTGCCGGTCCCATCTCTCTATCAGCAGCCTTCAACCATGATGCCAGCTGCTTCTCCGTGGGCCTCGATACAGGCTTCTGCGTCTTCAACTCCGATCCGTGCGAGCTCAGAGTATCGAGGGACTTCAACGCTGGGATTGGGGTGACAGAAATGCTGGGGAGGTACAACTTCCTGGCCTTGGTGGGCGGCGGGAGAAAGCCCAAGTACTCGCAGAACAAGGTCGTCATTTGGGACGATGCAAAGCAAAAAGCAGTCATCACACTCGACTTCAGCACTGCCGTACTCCGTGTCCGGCTCTCCAAGTCTCGCATCATCGTGATTCTCCAGAATAGCGTCCACGTCTACGCCTTCTCCTCGCCTCCCTCCAAGCTCTCCGTGTTCGAAACGGCAGATAATCCCCTCGGTCTCTGCTGTCTCGGCTCCAAGCTTCTTGCTTTCCCGGGTAGATCACATGGACAAGTACAGCTGGTGGAGATCGACTCTGGAAATGTCACAATCATACCCGCGCACAGCACTCCATTGCGCGCCATGGATCTAAGCCCGGATGGACAACTCCTCGCTACAGCCAGCGAACAGGGGACCCTCGTGCGAGTCTTCTCTACCAGCAACTGTGTACGTATCGCCTCTCCCCCTCCTCTACCATGCTAGCAGTAACATCCGACAAATCCACCCTCCATATCTTCGATCTTCCTCCCACACCCTCCAGCACAGCACGCCAGACCCCCTGGTCACCCAGCAGCCGAAGCGCCTCACCGGCCGCATCCCCAGTAGATGACGCCTCAGCCACAAACCAGAAATGGGGCTTCCTATCGAGATTACCTCTCCTCCCACGCGTCTTCTCCGATATATACTCCTTCACGTCAGCGCACTTCGAGATCGGAGATGACTACCAGGGGGGAAACGGCAGTCTGGGCTATCTACCTGCACTTGGCTCGCTGGGAGTGAGGCCGCACAAGGGTTTGATAGGCTGGGTGGACGAGCAGACGATCCTGGTGATCGGTGCGGGCAGAGATGGGAGGTGGGAGCGATTCAAGATTGCAGAGGACCAGGAGGGGAAACGAGGCGTGAGGAGGGATGGGTGGAAGAGATATCTAGGCGGATGAAGAAGATTGGGTTGTCCTAACTTAACGAGTGCTGCGATAGCAGAATATTGGAAATATCGGTCTTGCCAGGTAGTAAGTTCATCGTGGAGACTGACCATGGCAGACATGTGGCTTGCTAGAGAGAACTGCATCCTGAGGCCCAGCCTGAAAGCCACAGAGCAACCAGCCTCAATCCCCCGAGGTGGAGGACGGAAGCAAGAATCAGCTAATCCAAGAGCAAGCCACGTGCCAACAAGATGACCAGCACGAACAACAGCCAACAACGAGGATGAGAGGATACCAGTACCAACCGATGATTTACGAACAAAGAGGCCGCCCTTAAGCGTGATGCATGATGCCAATGAGGTGAGGTAGTAGATAGCTTCAACCTAACTAGTAGAAGAGCTGATCGCAAAGCCAGCTGGCACGGAACGAACAAGAACAAGAACAAGAAATTTCTGAGAAAAAAAAAGATTCCCTTCCTCCCTCCCTTCCTTTTTTATTTCCCACGTTAGGTTGTAAATCCCTCCAACCGTGAGAGAGAGACGGGAGAGAATAGAACAAGGAATGTGCTCGCCCCATCAAGTCACATGTAGGGCAAAAGGAGAGATGTGAGAAGAGCACAGCGCAAGTGAGATGGAGCGACTACGGACGGCCGCCCGGGATGCACTAAGCCATGTACTGGAATCATGCTGGAAGATCAGGGCTGAGTAGGTTTGATCAAGTAGACAATGCACCCCAGCGTTTGTTTGCACTTGCACAGATCATCTGGGAGCAGAGGCGGAAACGTGAAGTAGTTGTGGTTGTGCTGCACTGAGCTGAGATCGTGCAAAAGTCCAGATTGGATGTCCTGTGCTGTACTGTGCTGTACTGTGCTGTACTTTCAACTGTATTTCCTTCAACACAGCAAGGTATCTCTATCTAGAAAGGACATTTCATGTGCACATGTCTCACCTTCCTGTCCATGGCCATACACGAGCGAACTGATGCGTCCTGATTGACCTGGCTCCTCTACTCCATGCCGGCTCTCCATGTTGTCATCCACACGGTAGTTCCTGGGGATCCGTCGGGCATGCCACCAACAGCACGCCGCTGCGACAGCGACCATGCATCCCTTCTCCATGGGACATGGTCTCGACTCGACGCGTCGATGGTGCGGTAAGAAGTGAGGTGGGGTCATTGCTGGGCCTGTTTGCTCCAAAAGTCCAAGCTGGCAATAACGTCCTCGCCTGCCTCGTCTTCGTATGCGTACAAAATCTGCAATTTGCAAAGGGTAAGCAAAAGTCCACTGTGATCACCGGTTCCCAAAACCCTGGTATCTGGGGGGTACCAAAACGAAATGCGGGGGAGCGGAAGGGATCACCTCTCGTGTGCTCGAATGCAACATTCTGATGTTCTTCCCGGTCATGACATGGATAAGCTCGCTCGTCTCGATGTGTCGGATCTCGATAAAACTCGGCTCGAAGGCCAGAATGTAGGGGTAGCTAAGGGCGAAGGCCTGCGGCGTCCCTTCCCATTGTATCTTCCAGTCAGGTCGTGCCCGCCAGCCATTGCGATTGACGAAAAAGCTGAAATCGGAGTAATTGAGGAGGAATTCGCCGTTCAGACGCTCAATATGTATTGGACGAACGTTTTCTCTGCGGGCAACGAAGTCGAGCGATGTGTCGGCTTGGTCCAGAAGGGATTGACGCTCGGTGGTCTCGAGGGAGACAACTTCAAAACCTTTGGCGCAGCCGACGCAGAGGGTAGAACGTAGATAGTGCACAGAGGACGATTCAGCTGGGATGTAGAATTCCTAACAGATATAAGATATGAATGGCTGTGAAGCAGAGTAGAGCAAACACATACCTTGAATGGCTTCAGAGCATCCTGTCCACTTTGGAACATTTTACTGATGGCTGGCTTCTTCTTGCCTTTGGACAAATAGTCCATTGGCTCATAGACTTTGATGGTGGTCGATAGTGCTGAAGTCTTGACCGAGCATACCAGATGCCTCCCAAGACCAATGCCAGCCTTGAAGAAATTTGCGTGGCCCTGAATCTTCCTTGGCCGCCTGGCGAGCGGGTTTTGCTCATTCAAGTCGAGAGCTTCGAGAGGATAGGACGTAAGTGTCTTGTTTGACAGAACTAGCAGAAGTTGATATTCTTCTAATGTGTCGATTTGTGTCACCTGATTCGCGTCGAGGATTCGTTTAGGTCTTGCTGATTTTTCTTTAGGCCACCTGTCTGAGAGATAGATACCGCTATCTGTTCCATAAACCAGTTTTCTGCCACCATCTGCCGGCACCAAACAGTTCACTCTGTTTGTCGCATTGAAGAAGCCCTCACACAATATGGTTTTCGTGTAGAAATTGCTGTTTCGTTCCCGGAGCTTGCTCTGCTGCTCCTCGACCTTTTCGATGAACTTCTTTCGCTGCGTCACAGAAGATGCATAAAGTGGAAGTTCGTACCCACCTTTACCAAGATGCTTGAAGGTGATGGGGAAGGCTTGTTTGTCACCTGGCTGCGCGGATGTCGACGATTTTGTGCCGGGGATCAGGCTTGAAGACGGTCTTTTGAGGTTACCAATTTTGGGTATGACCTGGTCCATCTCTGCAATCATTAAAAGCTCAAGCGGTATGGGCTTCCGATAGACGCGATATTCTTCACGCTTGCTGACAGTCTTGATCCGGAGCAGAAGCACGGCATGGTCAAACAGATAGGCTGTAACTTCTGCTGTATCGCTGGGACTTTTCTTGAAGCTCATCTTCGTCAGGATTTGACGATTTTCTTCTGTAAGCTTCAAGTCGACATAATCACCGGGATTGAATTTGAGCTGGCCGTTCAAAGTGAGTAGGTTGAAATGATTCTCGGCCTTGCCACTCTCGGCGTTCACTCGAGTAAGAAAGTCTTTGATAAGAGCGATGGCGACGGGAATGTCTTGCTTATCAGGGTTATCGTCTTTCGTATACTTTAGAACATTGTCGAGCAACAATGGATACCGAGCGAGTCGGGTGGTTGGTTTCGTCAGATACCCGTTAAGCTCAAGCTTGCGAGACTCTTTCATTCGTTCTGTTTCATCGACAAATCTCGAAAAGGCTTGATTCTGCGACTTCTCTTTCTCAAACTCAAATTTGCCGTACATCTGGTTGGCGCCATATTTGATGAAGGGACCAAATCGCGGCACCCATTGTAAAAAGATGTCACCAATGTTTCTAACCACTGGATTCTCCCGCTGGCGAGCACTAAGCGCCTCAGCAAACTTGGAGTTGACTGCAAGTATCTCCAGACAGTTAGAGAAGACCGTCCGAATAAATTTCTCCCTGCGATGCTCTGGGATTGGCGAAGATTGATTGGGATTTGCTGCTCGTAATGGTCTCATCCAAAAGTCGCGCAAATACTCCAGATCTTTGACAAAATCACGCTCGGTGTACATAATCTCTGAAATGACTTCCTGACGCTTCTTCTCTCGCTCATCCGTGCTTGCGGCAATCTCTTTCGGCACACTGTTGATCCAGAGCTTTTGCTCATCGTCGTCATCCCCATGCAAACTGCCTTTGGAAGATTGATGCCGAAGGCCTGGTTCAGGTTTGAGATTGAGCCTTGCCTGCTGCTCTAAGCGTCGAGGGCATGCTATTGAGTAGCAAAGATGATCCCGCGTACATGTTGGAGAATAGCATTCTGTAAGGAGCGTAAAGACTCCATTCACTTCTTTCGAAGTCGCCTCCTCGCCCATCGTCTCCCGAAACTGGTAGACCTCTCCGCTTGCATCACGCAAACGATGATCGTACGTTACATCATGAAAGAACTTTTGCGCATCCAGAGCTCGGCCCAAAAGTAGGGCCAGGTTTCTGTCTGTGGTCCTGATGATATACGCAATGAGATCGACAGCCTCGGCTCCATTAAACGCGTTTTTATAGGACAGGTCATTTTTGGTCTTCTCACCAACGCCTATGTTGGCTTGGAAGACGTCAGCAACTCTTGACAGAAGAGCTGGGTAAACCATGGGCGTCCGGCGTGGAGTCAGTGTCATAGACGTTGCAGCGCTGGGCGTGCATTGTAACTGAGATGCACTCTGCATGCTATCCGCCCGATCATTGACGAGAGTGGTTACACTGGATGCGCTGGAGAAATTTCTGCCTGGTAACGAGGCATCGCTAGGCCTTCTTGGCTTTTGTGACGGGCTGAAGGGTGTGGGGCTCGAGTTGGATGTGTTGAAAGAAACGGGTGAACCGCTGGTAGTACTAAGATCAAAAGAGCTCGGCCCTGAGGATGACTCTCGCCTTCGCCCGGGTACGACGCGGCCTGTCGTTAGTTGCGACTGGTCGCTACGATCACCCATGTAAGAGCTCATCGTCATTGCTCTCTCGTCTAGCCTTTCAGGTATTTGACGTCCTTGAGACGTTATACGCGGTCCTGCGTTGTTATATGGTTGCTGACGGAACGAGCTTGCCGATCCTTGTTGAAAGCTGCCAGGGGGCGGACCATATAGTGGAGGTCCTCCCAATCTTGCCATAGAGCGTGATCGAAACGCGTCGGAATTGAGCGCGGCTGCTGGTACTCTATTTGGAATAGGTTTGCTGGGATATGGGGGCATAGGTAGGCCCGGTCTTGAATCAATTCTTTGAGGCTGTGGATAGGGCCGTCTGTCAGGAAACGATGGTAACGGTGGTCCCTGCTGGCCTGGTCCTGTTGCATGGCCTTCATATTGTGGGTATCCATTCACTTGAGGCTCGACAGGCCCTGCACCGCTGGGTACTCGCCTGTCATATCCATTTTGCATGTGCCGGACGGGTGGCGGCCCACGAGGCAACATTCCCTGAGCTGACTGAGAGGTGATGCTATGCGCTCTTTCCTGTGACATCGATTGGGGCTCCGAGGTCATAGTTTGAGACCGGCCAGGAGGAGGAGCTCCCCCAAATATCTGCTGAAAAGCAGCATCTCGCTGAAAATTGGACGCATGTCCATAACTGCTTGTACGTGGGCCGTAGTTGTGTCCCTCTTGAGTGGTGTAGTCTGCCATACCCAGCGAAGACACAGCCGACTCCTTATTATTTCACTGGTCGCAATACTTTTGGGGAGCTTCTGTCTTGGTAACAGGTCACCTAGAGGTGGCGGATGGTGGGTTCTGCGAGATGGAGAGGTTGCAGGGCATGCAAGTCCTGTTTGCATGTGACTAAGTCGTCAATGATATAGCTCTGTTATTTCTTTATTCTGTAACGCGCAGATCGGGACACGAAAGGCTATGAGGAGTGCGCTCCCAGTGAGTCTCGGATATAGTGAGGGGGGATCAAAAGGACCTTCGGCGAGGTCTTTGGGGTTATGTTATATTCATGTCAAGGCTACAGAAGAGCCAAACGAGGGTGTAAGAAACGAGTATGGGAAAAATTATTCAACCTAGACAATAGAAACATGAAAGGAGATTTCTGACCATACATATGATTGAATCAGGATCGAGCAGCACGTTGCAGTGTTTTTACAGGTGGACTTAGCCGGCCGCCGTAGTTGGGGGGATGCTGATGTAGCAGATGTCACCTGCAAGAAACTGTACCATTCGAACCATACTTCACCACATCCAACCACTAGTCAGGCTTCCTCGGTCAATCGATCTCGTTTCCCACTCACGACATACTTTCTCTGTCCATCAACCCGAGCAGCTCCTTATTCTTCACAGAATGGCGTCTACAAGTCCAGACGCTGCCAGCGATCTCGCTCCTCCGTTTGCTCCCTTTTTTGGCATGGTAAGTCAAATATCTCATGGTCAATAGCATCTTTTGACATATGAACAGGCCGGTGTCGCGTTTGCAGTACGTAACTATCCTTCCCGAAGTGCTACAACATATTGACACCCTACGCAAAGATGATATTCGGATGTACGTCGAGCCTTCTTCCTTGACAGGATACCACAAGTAGCTTTCTGATATCGTGATAGCCCTCGGAGCAGCCTTTGGGACCGCGAAGTCTGGCATAGGTATTGCCGGTGTTGGGACATTCAGGCCAGACCTGATCATGAAGGCATGAGCACTACAGATATTAATGAGGGCCTTTACTGATGGAAGGCAACGATACAGTCACTGATCCCAGTGGTCATGTCCGGAATCATCGCCGTCTACGCCCTTGTTATCGCCGTGCTCATTGCAGGTGACATGGCTCCTCCGTCAGATAAACACTATAGCTTGTTCACTGGTTTCATGCACTTGGCATCTGGACTGTCAGTCGGGCTCACTGGGCTTGCAGCTGGATATGCAATTGGCATTGTGGGAGATATGGGTGTCAGATGTTATATGCAGCAGTCTCGAATCTTTGTGGGGATGGTTTTGATCCTGATCTTTGGAGAGGTATTAGGACTATACGGGTACGTTACGCCGGATACGCTGCTTTCAGCACGCATTTTGATACAGTGGCTTACACCTCGCAGGTTGATTGTGGCACTCATTCTGAACTCGAAGAGCTAAACACCTATCAAAAGTATTATTACAATCATATTAAAAAAAGGGTCATCCGTCAAGCGTTCCCCCGTTCCGACGCATCAAAGATGGATTTAGGGCAATCAGAGCCTCTATATAGGTTTCTATCCGTTCTCCAAGGGGAGAATCCTGACATTTTTCATCCATATCTGTTCTATACTGGTTGCACTAATCCGCCCTGACCTTGAGCACATCTAGATTGACGTGAGGACAGCTCGACGGTCTTAGCACCAAGCAGACTTCTCACTGCAGCTAACAGATGAACGTCTGCAGGTGACATTCGTTCTGCATTGGTTTAGACTTTCTGCACAATTAGCAAAAGGGCGCAGGCCTCCATCTCAGCAAAGAAAAGTGTCATGCAAGCAGCTACCAGTCCTGCATTAGAGTGTGAAAGGAAATGCTTGTGCGTTGGAACTGGCACAGAAGTCATGCTCTTTGCCTGTCCTGTGGCTTGTATGCGAAGCGAACTGTTGGCGATTATGAAGACAACAACCGTTGTGTATATACAATGACATCAAAGCCCTCGCCAGCCTTTCAAAGCTCAAAGAGCGAAACAGAAAAGGTAGAAAGTATATGCTCCTTTACGAGAGACTGTGCACTGTGCCTAAGCACCACTTTCTTCAGAGAATCTGCACACCCTTCTTTGCTAGGTGTAAAGCTGCAGTTCCTCTCGGAGGAAAGTTGATACCTCAGAGTGGCGGTGAGCACTGCAAAGAAAGACACAACACGTTCTACAAGGGGTACTGCAGGTATCCAACACAGGGTCTAATGTCTGGGGATGTCATTGTCCTACACCAGGAATGGGGCAGGTGATGAGATGTAAATGCTGCAGAGGCACCACAATGGCAGTCCCGTCAATCGAGTCCCATCTGACTAATGCAGGCAGAGGAAGTCAGGGAGGTGCAGTTAGTATTTGAACCAGTCCACAATATTGATGTGCAGAATGGATGAGGAGCTGCTGTAGGCGATGCGATGTGGATGCAGTAGGATCTGTAGGGCATGCACGGCTGTTCCTTGTAGAGTGGAACAAAGATTTACATACGACCTGCTGCCACAGACGGAGTACTAGTAGTAGTCATACTAACAGTAGTATGTTGGTGCTTCCCAGATCTCTTGGCCGCATGTGTTCTCCTTTGGTCTCCACTCATCATAGCTTTAAGCTAGCATTCCTTCCTCAACCGAGAAGAGGCAACCGCTAGCCCTCCTGCGGAGTGGAGTCATTTAACCCAAGATAGGCTAGTCATCCTGCAAACTCCTACTACGTACCTACTACGTAGTAGTGCCTCCATCGCAAAAACAGGTGCAGGAGGTCTGTGCTTTGCCGATCCTGGTTGCCCTCCCGAAGACAATGTACCATGCTTGTCAAACCTAATGTGACACTAGTAGCTCGTTTACACCCACCCCACCCTACTGCTCTAATCCATCTTGCTAATTCATGCCGAGAGCCATACCCTAAGATGGCGTTGCAGGCTTGCCGCGGCCGCTGGCAACCAGCCCATCATTGGGCCAGGTTATCATGCGAGTAGCCTACGCTGCCACTAACTTACCCAGCAACCCCCAAGATGTCCATGTCCACCCGCCCCCACACGAGCCTGGTGTTTGGGAAGGGAGGAGTAAGCTTTTTTGTTCACTGCTCTGTAGCCGTATCATTTGCTTTTTCCGCCTCTTCTCATCTCCGCTTCCTGCATCTCGCTCTCCCACCCATCGCCTACCTTATCACAAGCCTCCACTCCACTCCCAACAATATCGCACCATCACTCATAAGCTCACACCTCAGCGCCAGGACGGTCTATCAGAAGTAACTGGCTATCACCGAAAGGCCAGTCGTAGGGCTGACCTTGGCAGAAGAGGAATCCTTTGCAGCTTCCGAACCGTCAACCAATTGCTGCACAAGATTTCTTACCACGCTCATCCATCTATTCCATCACCATGTACGGGACCCAACATAGGGGTCTCCCCCCTAACCGTCTCAACGAGCTCTTGGATCAGGTGCGGCAAGAGTTTGATGGCCAAAGCAGAAGCTCGGAGCACTATGAAAACCAGGTAAATGGTCAAATTCAGGAAATGGAAATGATCAGAAACAAGTTATACCAGCTGGAGCAGACACAGATTAAAATGAAGAGTGAATATGATGCCGAGGTCAAAGCTCTAAGACAGGAACTGGACAACGCTCGTGCCGGAGGCATGCCTTCTCATATGGGCAACCAACCTCAATACGGCAGCGCATCGCAGCCTCAACCCCCTGCTCTTGGCCATGGTCCCAGCAATCTGTTCAGCGGAATCATGGCAAATTCAGGGCAAGGAGGGCCAGGTCTTGCCCCACCCCCCAGTCAGGATCAGCAGCCGCCTCCCCAGCAACACCCTCTGCAGCCTCCCATTCCAGGACCACAGCCAGCTGGACCACCTCCTGCTCAGCAACCAGGGCCTTTCCAGGGCTATCAGGCAGGTCCTCCCGCAGTTAATGGCTATGGGCCTCAACCACCCCAGCCTACTAGCTCGCCTGGGATGAACAAGAACAGGCCATCAAATCGAGGTCCGCCAGGTCCCGCCACTCCTCAACAAGGCCAGCTCTCTTATCCAGATCCTAGAGCTTCTCCTCAGATTGGACGTTCAGCGGGAGCTGGACCAAACCCACATCCTCCCTTCCATGGCGGTTATGGCAATCAATTGGCAGACATTGACCCGGACACTGCTCCTGACCACCTAAAACGACGGGGCACCGAGTGGTTCGCTGTCTTCAACCCAGATGTACCCCGTGTTCTTGACGTAAATTTGGTGCACAATTTGGTGCATGAAAGCGTCGTCTGCTGTGTCCGATTCAGCATTGACGGTCGATATGTCGCCACTGGTTGCAATCGTTCCGCACAGATCTTTGACGTCAGTACTGGTCAGCAGGTGTCCGTTCTTCAGGATGAGACTGTGGACAAAGATGGCGATCTATACATTCGAAGTGTCTGCTTCAGTCCGGATGGTAAGCTACTCGCTACCGGAGCCGAAGACAAGTTAATCAGGGTATGTTTGACCAAAATGCATTAATGCTGAATTTTTCTGACAGAGGTGCCAGGTCTGGGACATTCAATCCAAGAAGATCCGGAACATCTTTGGCGGCCACGAACAGGATATCTACTCTCTCGATTTCGCTCGAAATGGACGCCATATCGCTTCTGGCAGTGGTGACAAGACCGTCCGTCTCTGGGACATTGACGTTAGTCAACAAGTCCTTACGCTCAGCATCGAGGATGGCGTCACCACTGTAGCTATCTCCCCAGATGGTCGTTATGTCGCTGCCGGGTCACTGGATCGAAGTGTGCGTGTCTGGGATTCCACTAGTGGATATCTGGTCGAACGCCTCGAAGGTGGCGAGGGCCACAAAGACAGTGTCTACTCTGTTGCCTTCTCCCCAGATGGACACCAACTAGTCAGCGGTAGTCTTGACAAAACAATCAAGATGTGGGAGTTGACGCCACAGAAGGGCATGTTGCCAGGTAGTGGACCGAAGGGCGGGAAATGCATTCGAACTTTTGAAGGACATAAGGTTTGTTACCACTATTTCTACTCTTGCCAGGTTCTATCGCTGACAGGTTTGATTTTAGGACTACGTCCTCAGCGTCTGTCTAACCCCACATGGCGAGTGGGTCATGAGCGGCTCCAAAGATCGTGGTGTCCAATTCTGGGACCCGCAGACCGGCATTGCGCAGATGATGCTTCAAGGTCACAAAAACTCGGTCATTTCCGTCGCACCATGTCCTACTGGATCCCTGTTCGCGACCGGCAGTGGAGACATGAGAGCAAGAATCTGGAGCTACGGTCCTTTCGCAGGGGAGAGACGATAAAGCGCTCTTTGGTATCCTGGCTGGCGTCATGGCCCTTCCTTTTCTTTGATACCTACTTTTTCAGTGTGCAGGGGATTTGGCACGCTGCTGCTTTGAAAGGTGTGCTGGTGCGTTATGTGTTGGAGGAAGATATCCACAAACCTTGGGAGGTGAGATTTGTGTTAGGTGGCTGGTGCTGAGAGCTTTGATGATCTACTATAAAAGAGTGCTGTTGTAACGCCCCAATGCCCATATCTACCATCGTGCATCCTAGTGTCATCAGTGGCCGCTCTGTTACCATGCTCAATCATGTCTTTTTGCTCTCTTTACCTCTTGAAATGGCAAGAGAAGGCCTGTATCACAAGTGAGAACAATGAACATCTTGGCCTTGACGGCGTCCTTCTCAACCACTCTCTCGTTTGGACTCTCCCCCGGCCTGTCGGCAGAGACACCTGGGTCTTCTCTCCTTCTCACACAAATGTATGGCATAGCCATTCGCTCTCTGGGTACCATTTCCCTCCACACCGTTCTCCTAAAAATCGACTCACTTTCTCTCACATATACTTCCCCCGCCTATTCTATCCCACCCAGCATGAAAACAAACAGAGCCGAAACCAGATATAAGGATGTAAAGTTATTCTCGATCTTTTCCCCCCTCTCTCTCTCTCTCTGTAACATATCTTTTCTTCTGGACTCCCCCATCAATCTCTTACTTTTCTTCCTCCGTCTTTTGCTTTCCTTTCTTAGCTTTCCTTTCTCTTCTTTTCTCTCCTTGTCCCGGCTCAGCCCCATGCCAGGAGTTCATGTCAATGTAGATATATCTTGGACCTCAACTCCCCCACTCAGCTCTGAGCTACCTAATCTATCCTACCCTACTCTACCTTAACCGTAGATGGACGGACGGACGGGATCTGGCGTTCCGAGAGAAAAGAAGGGAAAAAGAATGGGGCATATCTCGTTCCCATCACGTTCCTCGCAAAACCAAGGAGCAAAAAGACAAGGAGATGGGGAGATGAGTCGGGATTTTACTGATGCCCGCGATGAGGGGTTATGTGGGATGACTTTTGTTTCGTTAGCTGAAAGTAAGAAAGCAAGCAAGCAAGCGACCGGCTCTTGATCTTATGGTCTGCTTTGGGGGGTTTTTGTACTGCAATTGACGGTGAGCGGACATTTCTGTCACCCCCTCTTCTTTGGGTCCCCACTGTTCCGCAAAAGGTGGGTTCGATGTAATATGCATAGAAATCGTATATTTTAACCTGAAGGAAACTACATATATACAATCTGAAAAAACGCAAGCACTGGGCCGTCTGCGTGTTCCAAGAAATTCTTAGGGATCCTGAATTCTGAATGCCGAGAGGGATGAACCGTGGGAACCTCCTGCCCATTACGGACGCCGTTTACCAGTAATTATGCTCTTTTGCCAGCAGCCGGCGCCGGGAAGTGGTATCCAAGCCTGGGTCAGTGCCACACAGTATGAAGCATCGGTTCTCTTTTTCTCTTCTGTCTTTGCCTGTTACAGCGTCTTCTTCTGGAGGAGTGTCATCTCATCTTCCTCGACATACGTCCTCTCATCGTCACCCTCCACTTGCTTGACAATCCTCTCCATCTCCCTTGCCTGCCTCTCCCACTCCTCCTTGCCCATCTTGGTCTCGCGCTGAAACAGCTCGTCGTTCGGCTTTCTATAACTGCCCCCCAGCCGATCCCACAGGGTTGTAAACTGGCCATAGTTGTAGTTGAAGTAGAGATGGTGCATGGAGTGGCAGGCCGCACCGTTGAGGACGGGCGAGTTGGCGACGTACTCACCGTCGTGGATGAAGATGGTCCAGAAGTTGATGAAGATGAATAAAGCGATGTACGCGAGTTTCTGGAGCGGGAAGAGGAATGGGTAGATGTGGTAGGGGAGAGATTGGGTGAAGCCGTCGACGGGGTGGAAAGCATGGGAGGCAAAGGGGGTGGGCATGATCCACTTGTGGTGCGGTTTGTGGAGGCGCTTGTATATCATGGGGTGGTGGAGGGTGCGGTGGATCCAGTAGATGCAGAAGTCGGTAAAGAGGATGAAGAGCGGGAATTGGAGGTAATTGTACTGGGCGAAAGGGGCGGAAGATGGGGAGTCGTAGAGTTTGGCGTAGCCGCGCACTTCGGCGAGGAAGAAAGGTGTGGTTAAGATTGACATGATGGGCATGGAGGCCATGGTTTGCTCGATCTCGAGGCGGACTTGGTTTTTGAGATATTTGGGGTGAGTGAAGGTTGCGTGGTCGAATATGAAGTAGTAGGATGCGGTTGCGCAGATGAAGTAGAGGACCAGGCCGAAGAGCCTGTAGCTTGTCAATTGAAGATGGTGCACACCAGACACGGCTAGGCTCACCAGGTGATTATGTACAGGCTCAATGCTTGTCTGTAGATCGAGTCTCTAGGCCATGCGCTCTGGTAGGCATATTGTGATGGTTCGAGGCTGAAGAAGCTTGTGGACGATCGATATGAGTAATCTGGAGATGGTGTTGCGCCCTCACGTAGGCTTGAAAAGGTAGACGAGGCGACGTGTTTGACGCTTTGTGTGAAAATTGAAGCTCCCGAAGAAGGTAGTGCTTTTGCGTAGCAGTAATCTGCCACATAGGTATCGAATACCTCAAGTACGATGTCCATGGGTACAGCAGCAAAAGGACTGTCGGTGGAGAATGTTTGGTGTACGAGTGCGCTTGGGAAAGGAGTGTTTATAAAATAAAATAGAAACTGTGCTGCACAACGAATGCACGCAAATGAGTGAACCAGGTGGGCTGCAGCTGACAAACGAGTGTCGAGGCGGATGGTGGGTGGGAAGGAGGAAGTAGTGGCGTGAGTTCGGATCGCCCAATTCGCGTTTCCAGAGGAGAGGAAAAATATGAGTGGTTTAAGAGGGACAGGGGTAAGTGGGGAGTCAACGACTCGGAGTGAGAGGGCGACACCAGCAGCAGCGCTGATCTAGGGCGGCCATACGGGTGCCGGGCAGGGCATAAATACGTAGTAATACTCTGGAGATACGCTGGAGATACTCTGAGTGCTAATGAGTATTGCTATTGCACAGTAACAACAGTGTGTTCTACAAGACCATTCAGCCGATATTCCTGACCTGTTACTGACCGCCGCTTTGCAGTTCGTGTACTTCTGCCGTGCTGTGTAGTTACTGTGTACTGTGTGCTGTGCTGTGTGCTGTTTGCTGCAGTGTTCGGAGCTCTCTGCTCAAACTTTTATGCCTCGTGGGTCCAGAATTTGTCGGTCAATCAATAGCTTGGACCCTAGTTGATCCCTGGAACCCTAGTGTTAGGCTGGTTTAGCTGCCGGCTTAACCGCTGGAGTTACCGTTGAGCTAGCCAATATCTATCATGGTGGCATTTCTTAGACTAGATACTCGGCACCAGCGAAAGTAGTGGCCGCGCTGGGTTAAAACATGTCATACTACTCCGTACATTTATATTCTACTGTACTAACTTAAGAGTCTTGATCATATAAGCAAATTAAATTAATATCTAATACTTAAATAATAGCGAATCAAAAATTTCAACTTCTACAGCTCAAACTCTAGATTCCAGGATATACGCTGTTTTTAAGGCACTCTTTGACGCTGCTTTCGGCGTTTGTTATTTACACCACAGGTCATATAATCTGCTACCTTTTTTTTCACCCAGTCCAATTTTACTAACTTTACGTTCTTTAAAAAACAACCCCCATCCTCTTTTCTAGCCTCTTATAGCTTCACTCTCACACACCAGTTCACAGATCCTTACAGAGCATCCTTGACGGGTAGAGGGATCTGTTGTGTGGAGGGTCTGGTGTGTGGGTTTAAAGATCAATCATTAGGTTCAATCTCTAACGTTGTCCGCGGCCGAGTTGTCTTTTCCGTACTACGTAGTAACATGTGACGAGGCGCAGCGGCTGCGGGACTGCTCTTTATAGACACCCAATTATGTCGTCGAAGAGCCCCAAAAATTGGCTTTCTCGAGCCTGGACTCCTCTATTGGAGGGATCCAATGGCCAGATCAAGGTGCTTCGGGCCTTCGGGCTTCCCTGTGGCTTGCCATTGCTGACTGCAAAGAGTGGGGGATTTTGTCTGCTGCATAAAAGGTAGCCTGATTCTCTGCGTTCTCACCTTCGCGAACGCAGCCTCTATCTCTAATGCTTTTGCGCTCCTTGCTTTCGAGATGAAATGGTTGCCTCCTTTTACGAATGCGTTGGCCTATCTGGTTTGTCCAACCTCACATTTCTTTATTACGTTTGCTGACAGGGGTTGGTCAAGGGCATAAGCGATAACGGAACCTCAGACTTGACGAATGTTGACACAGTTACATTCCGGCAGAATGACTATGGCCTCAAAGAAGTTGCACAGGGTGTTCGTCCTAATGTAGAGTGCGTCCGGTATCCTGGTGGCGGTCGCTTGGAGAGAAACGGCAGCTGAGATCAATGGCTATACAGCATTGTTGCGGTTCATGGCCTCGACGGCCATTGGAAGAAGACATGGACTACGGAAAGCGATGTCTTCTGGCTACAAGACTTGTTGCCTAGAGTCATTCCCAATGCTCGAATCCTATCCTACGGCTACGACTCGCGAACGCATGGATCGAGTCCTGTGTCTGAGCAGTACATATGGCAGCATGCGACCGCTCTTGTATCGGATTTGACGCTGCTAAGAGAAGAAACTCATGTTCGTCCCGACTTACTAGAAGCTCTTGATTAAAGGAGCAGGCTGACGAGCCACTAACTAGACTGAGCAACGCCCAATTATATTTCTTGCCCATAGTCTTGGAGGGCTTGTCCTGAAAAATGTGAGACCTCGTCAGATCCATAGCAGATCGTTCACATTGGCATGGTTATTCTGATGCAACTCAGGCACTCATACATGCCGACTCCACTCGCACTGGACATCTCCTAAGTCACCATGCCATCAAGTCGTCGACGTATGGGCTGAACTTTATTGGCACTCCGCATCAAGGCGGCAATGGTGTCAGCTTGGGGAAGATTCTGGTCAACGTCGGGTCTGCATTGATGTACACAACCCAGAACGCCGTAAAACACCTCGCAGATAATTCGGAATATCTCCAAAAACAGCAATCAGATTATCTCGCAATCAGTGCCGACTTTGATACAGTTTGCTTCTATGAAACGTATCAGATGGCTTTACCAGGATATGGTCATTTGCTGGTGAGTACAAGCTTCTATCTCCAGCCCATGGCAAGAGAATAACGGATGCAAGGTCGTGCCGCGGCATTCGGCTGTTATTCAGGGCCAGCGAAATGTAGAAGAAATACCTCTGAATGCGGACCATAAGAGTATGACCAAGTTCGAGTCGTCTGAGGATGAGAACTTCAAGAGGGTTTCTCGCATTGTCAAGCGTATGGTCAACAAGGCTGCGGAGCGCGATGCGCGACAACAAGAAGACCCTGGCCCCTTGCGCGGTGTGTAGAAGCTGATGTCATATAGACTCAAGAAACACGCTCCAAATATGAACAATATACTAATGTTTCATCAGAACAATATGTCGTGCCTTTGTATCTCCCGAGAGCCTTGAGAACTCCTCATTTTACAGGCCGCGACAGCCTTTTGCTGCAACTTCATGTAACGTTGACGCAGGAAACTGGCTCAGTTGCCTCACCCGCACTTGTCCTGAGTGGTCCAGCTGGAATTGGGAAAACTCAAACTGCTCTAGAGTACATCTATAGATACAAGAAAAACTTCGAACCCATCATATGGATTGACGGGACAAATGCAGACTCGATAAGGCGGAGTTTCCATGGATTTGCCCATCATTTGTGGAAGCACCTGGAAGATTGCCGATTGAATACCTCCACGATCTATAACCGTCTGAAACCGCTTTTTGCAGAAGGTCAGACTATCGACCACAGGCGCACTCAAAAGCATGCTGCTCCCAGAAGTACCCAGCAGATTCTAATGAGCGACTTTGATAAATTTGACGAAGTTCCAGAGCCTCATGACTCTCCTCGAGTGCAATGGACAATGGCAGTTGAGATAGTCAGAGACTGGTTGAACAAGCCCCAGAACAGTCACTGGTTATTAGTATTCGACAATCTCGATGATATCGAATCATTTGATATACGTGAGTTTTTCCCGTATGCTTCACAAGGGAATATCATTATCACGACTAGAATACGTGAAGCAGCTCGATATGGAAGGGGTGTTGTCATTGAAGAACTGAGCCAAAATGATGCGGTTAAGCTGCTGCTGAAAAGTTCGTACTTGGGCCCGGATCTTGATGAGAGAGGTATGTGCCTTTCAACCAACGCTCCAGAATCTAGCCTTAGATTGATTTCACAGAGAGCGAAGCAGCCTTGCATCTTCTCGAAAAACTAGGGTACCTTCCTTTAGCGATAGAGCAAGCTGGTGCGTACATTTATGCTTCTTCAGTATCTATAGCCAAGTATCTCGAGCTCTATGAACGCGATGCCCAACAATTGTTCGATAAGACCCCGGCAGTCTGGTATTACCGCAATGATACTGCCCTCACAACATGGGAGATCTCGTTTGCAGCGCTCGAGAAACGCGACACATTAGCTGCAGAGATTCTGCAATTGTGCAGCTTTCTCGGAAGAAACCACATATCAATAGAGCTCTTTCGCTTATCAGCACTGTTTGCATTCGAAGGTAATAGAGCCTAACATTGATTAAAACGGCTTGACTGACTACTTTGACGCACACAAAGACTCATCGTTTGACAAAGCAGTCATAAATTTGCAATCGCTTTTCCTTGTGAGAGTTGAGGAGTCGTTTAATCATTTCTCAATGCATCCTATGACCCATTTATGGATCCAGAAGAGACTAAACAAGAGCAGCCAGATCGCTCTGTTAAAGAAAGCCTTACTAGTCTTCTTGAACGGTCGAGGCAACCCTTCTTTTTTGGAAAATGATGCATATTTGTCCTACCATCTTGACCATCTCGTGCAAAATTTCCAGAGCTACTTCCTGAAAGAACCTTCCAACCTTAAAATCGTCCTGGACATTCCCCAGAAAACGTTGTACCAGCGAAACGCAATTACCACAACAGCGCTTGGAACGTACATGTGGCTAAGCGGCCTTCTGCGCAATCTTGGTATCTTCCTTCGGAGAGGGTTCCTGAAATCCGACTATCCAGCCCCTGCGTGGCGAAACCTCTACGAGTTACGCTATGTCTATCGTAACCAACGCTTTTATGACAAGGAAGAAGCATTATGTCAAATAGCCCTGAGCCGTGCATGGATGGAGCTGCCAAAATTACATCCTTTATCGCTTCCCATCGTAGGAGACTTCGCCTTCTCAATATACCAACAGGGACGGCTGTCTGAAGCTATGGGCTGGTATCAATGGGCTTTATGGGCCAGAACAATGGTTCTGGGAAAATATCACCCAGCAACGACCGGAGCTGTCTACGGAATCGGACTCGTATTGGAAGCACAAGGCCGACATGAAGAAGCCTTGGACAAATTCGTGAATGCATATCAAGGGCGGGAGCGGCGTTTGGGACCTTTTCACTGGATGACTGGCCTGGTGCTTAATGACCTTGTAGAAGTACTCGACAAGACCGAACATGTTGATTCAGGCCATTGGAGAGAAAAGCTGGTTGAATGGACTTTGCGACAACCGGATTCCTCGATGACCGATCGCTACCTAGCTGGTATAGGTACTATCCGGGCTTGGACTCAGCTAGCCAGTTGCGACAATGTCATGCTCTGGACTAACAAAACTCTAAATCTAATGGAAGACCGCACCTCGACCTTCAAGGATCTTCAGGCTGTGCGATCTGACCTTTTGGATGTTCTTATTGATGGCAGCTGGGTATGTAGTCAATCAGGCAATTTTGAAGGAGCGCTTTCCGTCTACACGCAAGCTCTGAGCGCAGTGGAGAAGTGGTGCAATTGCGCTGTAGGAGATCATTGGACCATAGGGTCTGATATGGATGGTTGCGGATTTTTCTGCTCCAATATTTTCTCTTTTATTGGGCACACCTACTTACAAGGTAAGGGTGACTACGAACAGTCTTTGTTTTGGAACCTCCGCGCTGTCAAAATTAAAGAGATGAGTTCCGGCTCCCTTTCTGACTGTTCTTGGCGCGTCCAAATATTTCATCAGATATCGACTGCGCACGGCAAACTTGGCCAATACCAGGAAGCCCTGGAGATAGATGCGAAATGTTACATGCTACAGCAGTATGTATGCACCTACGGACGTTCCGAATGTGACAATAGCTGGGATCTAAATGAGAGCTATGCTGATATCGCCTATGATCTTTCGTGTCTTAGGCGACATCGAGAGGCAGTTGATATATGGCAAAGTGCCCTGTTATTGGAAAGGTTGTCTGATGGAGAATGCAGCAGCGATGTCATTAGGACCCTCGAAAATCTTGCGAATTCCTATGCCGAGCTGGGTGACTACGATCGTGCCCGCGAACACTTCCGCAAAGCCGTCGTCTGCCATATTAGCAACCTAGGACCGGAAAATAAGGAAGTATACGGTAATCTGCATAGGTTAGGGAGAGTAGAGATAATGGCAGGTGACTATCAGAGTGGTCTTGCACTACTCGCATATGTAACAAGAAAATATGAGGAAGCCTACAGCCATGAAGTCCAGAGCCTTGGCGAGGAGCATGAAGAGGCATTGCAAACTTTGCACGATATTGGAATAACTCTTTATGATCAAGACAGATATGACGAAGCTCTGGAATGGTACCACCGGGCTTTAACAGGAAGAAAGAAGAGTCTTGGTGAGGAGCACAAAGATACATTGTACACTATGTACAATATTGGCCTAATTCTTCAGATTCAACAGAGATATGATGAAGCTCTAGAATGGTACCACCAGTTCTTAACAGGAAGTGAGAAGAGTCTTTGTGAGGAGCATGAAGACATACTGGACACTGTATACGCTATTGGTGGAATTCTTCACGATCAAGAGAGATATGACGAAGCTCTGGAATGGTATCACAGGGCCTTAGCAGGAAGAAAGATGAGTCTTGGTGAGCTACACAAAGACACACTGCGTATTATGCATGATATTGGCCGAATTCTTCACGATCAAGAGAGATATGACGAAGCTCTGGAATGGTATCACAGGGCCTTAGCAGGAAGAAAGATGAGTCTTGGTGAGCTACACAAAGACACATTGAAAACTATGCATGAAATGGACCGAACTCTTACGATCAAACGATCAAAAGAGATATGACGAAGCTCTAAAATGATACCACCAGGCCCTAGCAGAAAGAGAGAAGAGCTTTGGCCAGGAGCATAGCCTAGCGACTTACGGTTGAAGTGCCCACACACTAGATAGGATTTAACTTACCTCAAGGATCTGCCTTATGAGGATTGATTTCAGCCTTCATCAAGTTCCTGAATGAAAGACTCCTAAGTGATCTTTTGCTTCAGTATTTGAAAGCAGTGGCACAAGCCTGCTCATAGCCCTTCACTGACATGATCCGAAGCCCTATCTGCCCTCTGGATTCTGTCGAAGGCATGCTCCACGAAATCCACGACTTCTACTCACGGGTCGCGACGAAAATGCGTACACATTGGGAAAGATAGGCGGACACGACGTAGTGGTGGCAGTTTTGCCGGAGACTAGAAACAACGCAGCGGCCACGGTGGCGACACAGTTGCTCAACGATTCTCCTTCGATCCGCTTTGGTATCCTGGTGGGATTGGAGGAGGAGTGCCTGGAGAAGATGGTAAAGATGACGTTCGACTCGGCGATGTGGTGGTTGGTCAACCGACAGCCATGTTTGAAAGGGTGGTGCAAGAATATAACACTACAGGGCGGAAGTGCTATACTCAACTAGGCAGGGTCATCAACTCAGTCCCACAAGGGATAGTGTCGCTAGTGCCTTAGGTAAAGGAGGCGTTAGCTAAAGAGTTGATGGAGAGGTGAGGTACTAAGGGCAGGATGCTAATAGGGGCGCCATCGCATAACCTGCCAGTCATTAAGTCTGGTAGAGCGGATTATACATTGTATCGCTGTCAATAGCCAGGCCAGTGGTTGGATCAACAGGCTAAAGCGTCGAATAAGAGCACGAAGACGGGATAGGAAGGTCGATTGGAGGCGCGAAGCCGACACACGCCCTGTGCTGCGGGCCGCGGGCCCCGGAGACGGCGGCGTAGCAAGCCAGAAGGGAGGTCAGCTAGGAGGGAAGCGAAGAGGGGAGGAAGGAGTAGAGGCCCGAGAAGAAGGGACGATGGAGGCGATCGAAGAGGAGCAGCGAGCTCTTTTACTGTATCCGGGCCAAGCGGCGAGGGAGCGCTACTAAACCTCATATGTCATATGGCGGGGCCACACCCACGACTAGTTACATAGAATAGCAACAGAGTGTCTGCTTGACGTTATACCCACCAGGCGCCATATCTTCCAGGCTCGTCCTTGATAGACATTCCATGACCGGCGACTATGCTCTCTCCCAATCCTCAATTGAATCAATAGCCGGCTTCACAGCTGGCACCGTCTCCACACTGGTTGTCCATCCCCTCGATATCATCAAGACCCGTCTTCAAAGTAAGTAAGGCGCCAGGTGAACCATGATCTATCATGTTTCAGCCCTGTGAACATGCTAATTTCTCTCAGTCAACACCAATCCCCGTAGGGTTGCCCAATTCGGACCCCGCCCCGCCCTGACCTCTCTGCCATCCCTCCGCATCCTTCACACCCTCATCACAGCCGAAGGCCCCTCCCCCCTCCGCTCCCTCTACCGCGGCCTAACCCCCAACCTCGTCGGCAACTCCCTCGGCTGGTCCCCCTACTTCCTCTGGTACTCGCAAGCCCAAGATGTGGTCCGGCACCTGCGCCACTACCGCAAAGACAGCCAACTATCCTCCCTCGACTACCTCACCGCCTCGCTCGCCTCTGGCGTCCTCTACGCCGCCCTAACCAACCCAATATGGGTCATCAAGACCCGCATGCTCTCCACCTCCGCCCACCACACCGGAGCCTACCCTTCCATGCTTTTCGGCCTACGCGCCATCGCGCGAGGAGAAGGCTGGCGCGGCTACTTCCGCGGTCTGATACCCACCATGGCAGGCGTCAGCCACAGCGCTGTCTACTTCGTCGCGTATGAGAAGCTAAAGGCCGAGAGGGCTGCCCAACTATCATCCAACATCACCAGCAATGACCCCTCCACTAACCCCCACCCCGCTACCTCCAAGCAGCAGCAGCAGCAGCAGCAGCAGCTAAGCAACGCAGACTACCTCCTGATATCCGGCCTCTCCAAAATCTTCGCCGGCACCCTCACCTACCCGCACCAAGTCGTGCGCGCCCGCATGCAGACCTACGCCTCCTCCGCCACCCCGCCCAATCCCATCGACCGCATGACAGCCCAGCAGCTCGCCAACAACGCCTCTCAGGGACTCCGGGCCACCCTCCGCTCGGTCTGGCGCCAAGACGGCATCAGAGGCTTCTACAGGGGACTGGGCCCGAATCTGCTTCGCGTGGTGCCGAGTACGTGCGTGACGTTTTTGGTGTATGAGAATGTGAAGTGGGCGCTTCCGAGGAAGGAAGTCGAGGTGGCGGAGAAGGCGGTAGAGGCCTTGTGATGATGGATGCTGATGCTGAGGATGAAATTTTTCGGTGTTTGAGATCGTCTGACGGTGCAGGTGAAATGGAAGATTGTGGGAGAGTATGGAGGAGAAGAAGAAGAAGAAGAAGAGTCCACCAGATCAGCCGCGCTAATGCATTGAAAGGTAAGAATGCTAGTAAGATATCTGAATCGGCTTTTCCTGGCAAGGTGCATGAGCAGAAAACAGATATATCGGAGTGATCAACATCTGGTATCTGAATTCTCCATCTAAACTATCTCGAATAGCTGATCCAGAACCCCATGCGACGTGCGCTCCGTTCCAGATGCATACTAGTAGAGAGATCTGCACCGCCTCTCACCTCGGCGAGCAACTGGAAAACTCTGGATTCAGTTATCCTTCCCGATTCTGTACTAAAATTGACAGGGACAAGGTGGGTATACACAGAATGAAAATGCCGCCAGTCAGGAGTGCCCAAAATCTCTTCTCTTGAAATCGCTTACTCACTCACTCACTCACTCCACCCCATCCGACTCCAATCCCTGCATCCCGCCATTGGTGTCTGCAAAGGGATTCTCCCTCCTGACCCTCTTCTCGCCCCTCTCCTCAACATCTTCCATCTTGACCTCCTCGTCCTTCTCCTGCACCTCAGCCTCAGGCTCCTCCTCAGCCGGCACCGGCAACGGCTTGGCCAACTCCTCGCGGATCCAACTCTCCTCGACCGCATACCGCCGTTGGAAAACCCTCATCCACCTCCCACCCCACCTCTTGAC